AGCAGTTGGTGATGCATTTAAAGGGAAAGCATGTCAAAAACAGGAGTTAGTAAGCACAACACATGGATCAATGTTGTTATTGATATTGCAGAGGGGGAGGCAGAGCAGCTCATAGATTACAGAGTGCATCTGCGGCCGACTTGTGTAATTGGAGCGTTATTTGAATGGCTGGGATTAAAGCTTGTGTTTCACTCTGATAGTAAGACCTCTCCAGGCCACAATGTAGGTTAAATGAGGAGAAAACAGAAGAGGAATTTAGGCTAAAGCTAACTTTAGATGCCTTTTCTCGTTACTGGAGCTTTGTCGAAGCTGGGCGTGCTGTAGTTCACGTTCAGAGGCGAACAGAAGTTTCAATTCTACTCTTAGTTAGGTGTTGTGCTTTGATTTTTGAAAACAGGATAAGTTTGAATTTGATAAAAAAGATCTGGCAACTAAGGCAAGGAGTGTGTGGGCAGCTGCCTGTGTGGCAGTTATTTTTGCAGGGATTTAATAAAACATTTTAGCGTGTGCCTACACAGCTGTTAAATGACAGTACATCATTCTGAGTGCTGTCAAAACCTTAATGGACATCATGCCTCCAGCTGAAGCATTATTGAGCCAACCTACAACTCTCATCTCATCAGATATCAGTATTGTGATTAGTTTATCTTTCTTCAGCTTGACCACATGTGGGTCGTAGGTCGTAAACATTGTTGTTGTTGTTGTTGACATTACTGAGTTTCTTTGAGTTGGATTCGCTTTTATTCTTCCAGTCAGTCTTTTTTTTTTAATTTTTTGGTGTAAGTTTACCGCAGTCTAAGCTGTGTTTTTTTTTTTTTTTTTTTTTATTTGTAACTGGATTTCTTGAGTCATCTGAATGACTCACAAGAACCTGCCAACATTTTTTTTAGTTCTACTTTCACTGCTTTGCTGTAGCTCTGTCTCAACACCAGGGGGCCACAGGGAGCGCGTTTGGAGCCAGTTGTAGGCCATAAACATACAGTCAGAGCTTGAAGCATATTTAAAAATTTTAAATGCACCAAGAAAATGTTTGTCACTTTTTTAATGTCTTCTTAGGACTGTCTTCTATTTTCATTGGAAAGCAGAAATGTGTCCCATGTTCAGACAGTGCTTACGTTTTTTTTTTCCCTTCTTTTTCTTATTTTGTGCTTCTGCCTGAGACATTATTAGTTCTAAATAGGAGAGAAGCCACGTGTGCGTGCAGGAGCAGCCTCTTATTTATAGACACTTTAAAAACGGGGTTATTTTTAGCGATGATGAAACTGAGGTCGCACTGCAGCTCCTACTGACAGGTTGCTTGCGTGGCATTAAATTAACTCTCAGTTTAAAAGCAAAGCAGACAGTATGCTGATTTGCACTCTGTGTCATAATTCACCCTTGTACTCCTCATCTTTGTCTGCAGCCATGCTGTTTGCTGCAGTGTGAGTTGTTCTTATGTGGGGAAAAAAATGTTTGTTGTAGACTAATGTTGCACATAAAGTACATGAAAATATTAAGTGCTATCTACAGGAGTAAATGTATGTCTAAATAATCATATATACTGTATAGATTGATCACAGGAGAAACAAAGGCCTATTTTTTTACAACTTTTGTTTCAATATGTTTTTTTTGTTTCTAGTTCTTTGTATAATGTATAATGCTGCTCACAATGCTTCTGTGTCACATTAGATGGAAAACCATGAAGACAAAAATAAAGATATTTACTGTTGTTTTTTGTCTAATTCACATTATTTTCCTCTAATATGCATTAAAATGACATGTATGTGTCATATGTTGCCAAGGAAGGGTTAATGAAAATGTTAATGAGTTGCATGTTATGAAATTGTGTTTTTGGAGATTAACACGTTAAAACTAGTTAATGTGCTAACTAGTCATCTGCTAGAAAGGAAGCTATTTGCCCTGCGATGCTAATTGTCTTAAAATAAAATGAGCTAGGACAACAAAGTAAATGGTCTTTGGCAACAAACATATTACACATAGATGACCTCCAGCTTCAATTCACTTTTCTTTTTAGATCACTGCTTCCTGTAACAATTAAGACTTTACAATATCAGAGAACGCCACCTACCCGATGATCCACCTTTGTATGCTACTCCCTCCCCTTATGTAGTAATTGCATAAAAATATATTTGGAGTGATAAGTGCAAAGAATAAGCTTTATCTATGTGCAGCTGCATAACTAAGGGACGACACTGGGTCACATGATCCACTCTAACTATCATCATTGTCATAAAGAAAACTTTTCCACCTTACCTCAGAGGTAGACAAGGTCTTGTGGTCTTTGACCTAAACTGGAAGATATTTCGTACATGGACAGGATCCTGAAAGCTCTGCCTCCCATTATATTTCTAGAGACTCTAGGAAACACAAGTAAGCCAGCAGACTGATAGAAAACATCTCCACACTTACCACAGAGTACTAGATGTCATTTATATTAAAAACAGCCTCCAAACACCAGGAGAAATAGCCCTGCGAGTCACAGTCAGGGATTTATCAGAAAAGCTGAAATAACATAAGCACTTTTCTCTATAGAGACTATATATTTAAGGTTTATCAAGACACTGACTCAGAATATACATTCAACAGCCACTTCATTAGGTACACCTGTTCAACTGCCTATTGACACAAATATCTAATCAGCAAATCAGATGGTAGTAATTCATGATCAAGATGACATGCTGAAGTTCAAACTGAGCACCAGGATGGAGAAGAAAGGCGATTTAAGTGACCTTAAATGTTGCATGTTTGTTGGTGCCAGATGGGCAGGTCTGAGTATTTTAGAAACTGCTGATCTGCTGGGATTTCCCCACACAGTCACCTCTAGGGTTTATAGAAAATGGTCTAAAAAGAGAAAGTATTCAGTGAGCAGCACTTCTCTGGACAATGGCTCTTTGGTGACAGAGGTCAGAGAATGGCCAGACTCTGTTGAGCTGATAGGAAGACAACTGTAGCTCAAATAATCACTTGTTACATGGCAAGGCATGCAGAAGAGCATCTCTGAAAGTACAATGCAAACCAGATGGGCTACAGCAGCAGAAGACCACATCAGGTAAACAACATGAAAGCATGGATTCATCCCACCTTGTATCAGTGGATCACTCACAGTGTACCCATCTTCTGATGACTGCTTCCAGCATGATAATGCACAGTATCACAAAGCTTAAATCATCTGAAACTGATTTTTTAACTTGAGAAGTACTCAAATAACCTCCAGTCACCAGATCTCAATCCAATAGAGGATCTCTGGGATGTGATGGAACAGGATGGACGTGCAGTCAAAAACAACAACAACAAAAAAAAACCAGTAGCAACTGTGTGATGCTGTTGTGTCAATATGGACCAAAATCTGCAAGGAATGTTTCCAGGACCTTTTTGAATCAGTCATGAAGAATGAAAGCAGATCTGAAGGCAAAAGGGAGTCCAACCTGGTAGTAGTAAAGTATACCTAATGAGTTGTCCTATAAGAGTAAATTGCTATAAATACATCAAAAACTGGAGGCTAAGTTCATTTCCCCACGGTTCTGCTAACCACTCACACATGTAACTCGACTTTATCTTTGCATCCAGACCAATAAGTTGTGCAACACATCCTGCAGATCCACTTCCTCTCATGGACCGCACACGTTCCAAAAAACAAAACAACCGAGACCACAGTTTTATGTACAATATGTACAACATTTATTATAATTAATATATAAAATAGACAATGTACTTAAATTTTCACAATAGAAAAAATACAAGTAATAAATAGAAAGACCATTTCTGTTTTGCAGGTATTATAAAACATCCAGCAGGGTTTGACAGATGTGAGACGTTAAAATATAGAGAATAAATGCTTTGCCACACTAATACTCATATATAGCTAAATATATGCCTCATATCTTTAGGAGTTATTTGTCAACACAGTTTCATGTGTTACCATGCCTACTTAATATATTATATTGCTAACACTATTCAGTGGCCTAAACTCCCATGAAATTTAAGCCTGCTGAGTGAAACAGGCCTACGTCAGACGGAGGCTTTTCAAGTGAATAAAACACCATCTCTATGCACCTTCTTTTCCAGTCTGCTGTGCCTACTTTCTTTCTCCATCATCAGTCTTCTTCTCAACCCTCCACTCTCACCCTCGTCTCCATCAGTCTTCTCTCTCTCTTTAACCTCCTGTGTCTCTGTCTGCCCCGCCCATTCAGAAATGACCTCAATTTTTTTTTCTCCGCACAAACAACATACGATTCATCTTAGAAAAATAATGTCCCTCCAAGATATCCACGACGACGAGCTAGTACAAACATTGCAAAAATATACGTAAAACACACATATACACGCACGCACGCGCACACACACACACAAATCGTCATACATCAATATGGCCATTGGCTTTGAGCATATTTCTACACAGCTAATAATCAAACGTTTTGTAAAGTAATCATCGTCGCCACGCAGCACAATAATTAGACGTGAGAATATCCTCAGACTAGTCATAAGTACTTTTTGAAAACATACAGAACATCACAGCACTCGTTAGCTTGTCTTGTCATAATATCTACTTTTAAATACAAATAAAATTTAGAATATATAAATGTCACTGAACATTTGCGTCTCTCAGACATTACAAACAACACAACAACGGGAATGTTTGCAGAGGATTTGCATCGACTTGAGCGTAATTCCTACCAGACGTGATTCTATTTCCACACATTCGTTTATTCAGTTATTTATTTAAAATGACCAACATCTTTCATCAGAAAGAAGCCGCCACTGACGTTGGACTTGGCCAAACTGCTGCACGGCAGTTTTTATGAAACGAGAAATTTGGGATTAAAGCTTAGAAAAAGATGGAAATCCACAGAAATCACAATGAGAAATAAGAAGTGAGTCGTTTCAGACAATCAGGAGGACTGGTGAGCTCCTTCATACACTGAAGGCACTGCATTAATGTGAAAAATGAGCACACATATAATACAGAATTGTCTTTTTGGACTGGTGAGACCCCCCCCCCCCCCCCCCCCCAAAAAAAAAAAACAAAAACAAAAACCTGGAAAATCTTAGTGAATCGCACAACTTAGAGAAATTCACAATGCACTCAGGCAGCATTTCTCTGACCGTTTCTGCTCCCAAAAGTCTCATGACTAAAGCAGCTAGAGAGCCATCAATGGAAGGAGGCGAAAACAGATTCGATTATCCCACCGGCACATAAAGTGACATAAAGGGTGAGAAACTGCATTGAGAGGGAAGAAAAGGAAAAAATACAGGGGGGGTGGGAACACGAGGCTGCGCCAAGCTAGTGATTTCAGACTAGAAGGCATTATGGAGACCGAGGAAGCTCCACCCTAGCATTTTGCTGTTGGTCAGGTGCCATAAACGGAAGCAGAAAGGCACCCCAGCCTTTAAGTAGCATAATCAGGCTACACCAGCCTCGCTGTGGGGGTTTGCTGAGGACTAAAGGTGCTCAGTAACCCTGTTTGGCTTGGTTGGGCTTCAGTCAGAGTCCCCGTGTAGCTCAAGGGAAAGACTGTGAGGGTTTTTTGTGCATAAATATGTGCGACGCCTTGTTCACATTAAACAGAATTTGAAACTTTGAGTGCTTCAAGGAAAAAAAAAAAAAAAAGATCACTGAGTAAATCTTACTTGACCAGACTGCTGTTTCATGGAGGATCATCAGAGGACATCTCTATCAAAACTACAGTACTGAACCCGTTTCTGTTTTCTTGTTTGTTAGAAAGGTGATCGTAGCTGTGATCGGATTTCTGTCAACTGTAATGTGAACAAGGCGCTTAGTATTTTCCTATTATTACAAGTCATCCTGCTCTCCTGCCTGCGTGAGTATTAAGGCCCGCAGATGTGTGCGTGTTTGCATTGCAGGCTTCCCCGTCCCCACCCCGAATCCCAAACCCCAGTCTGGTTTCAGCATCTCCTTCTAGGATAGCTCGTGCTCCCTCTGTGGCTGAGGCTGCTGCGGACTCTTGACGATGGTGATGACCGAGGCGGTGTTGAGGCGAGGGGCCGTCGCCAGCAGGCTGCCTCCTCCCGCTTCCAGACCCCTGGCGAATCTCTGAAGCGCAGCCAGGCGTGCGCTGAGCCCCTCCAGCTCCTTCCTCATGCCGGCGTTCTCGGCTCCGAGCCTCTCCACCTCTCTCTGCAGCTCCATCTTCTGCTGCTCCAGGGCCTCTCGCTGAGACACCCGCTTGACCCGGCAGCTGGCGGCATATCCCCTGTTCTTTAAGGTGCGACGCCGCTGCTTCAGCTTCTGAATATCGTCGCGGGAGAGGCCACGCAGGTGGAGATTCAGCTCTCGCACCGACAGGGACATTAGTTCGCTGTCCGACAGGAAGGGCACGTTCTCGCCGCATTCCTGCTTCACCTGAAGTAAAAACAGGAGGAAACAGGAAGAGAGGAAGCATTTAAAGAAGGAAGAATGAGAAAGGAAAACATACTTTCTTTTCTTCTTCCTTTTTTCAAAATGACAGTTTTCTCTCTTGAAAAACAAAACAACCCCCCCCTCCCCATGACTCGGTTTTATGTCTGGCTGTGTTTTACCTTCAGAGCTTTGCTGTTTCTTTCTGTCGTCATGGTCCAGTTGTCTTTGTTTTTTTCCCCTCCCCAAGCACCAGTAAAACCAGATACACACAATCTGAAGAAACAAACACAAACAACATCACATGAAATGTGGGACACTGTGCATTTTTGGTTCATAGCCTGCCTGACATTCACCATCCGCTCACAAGACATGCAGTCATGCACTACTGAAGAAAAAGGAGAACCTGCAGATCTTTCGTGCTTCTCCAAAGCACGCCGTCTCATTATAATTTGTGGTTTCATGTGAAAGACAGGGGAGGTTTTGAAAGTGACATGCCTTTCTCTGTTAGCTGGAATTATCAGGAGGAAGTTATCATGTGGCTGCCCTTTGGTTGCTCAAAGCAGGTGTCCTAACCAATTCCCTGAGCACTTCCTCTTGTCAGCACAACACCAACGGTTCGAGCCCTTGGTTTTACAAAAAACCAAAAACTTGAATACGTGGTTTTTAAAAGGGACACTTTTTAAACAGTTAAACTTGAAAAATTACAATACTTGATTTAAAAATAAATATGTAATAAAATGTCTTAAAGAGTCTACCTAAGAAGCACAGGTTTCACACAGACTCTTATCAGGACTGCTACACGCCTCTCAAATGCCACAGCGTGGGATTAAAGTCTAACCTAAATGGGCCAACTTCAACTTCTTCCCCCACCTTAGTCACTCCTCGGTTGCTTATTTAAAAAACAAAACAAAACAAAACAAAAAAAAAAACCTCACTCAGCACTTCAGCAGGAGACATCTTTTTTTGTCTTTCCTTCACACAGATCCTAATGTGAAAGTAAAGGATACAAATGGCCAAGTGGTCTGTTGACATGAAGGTACTCTGGGCCAGCTATACTGCTAAAACTTTTTGTATGATAATGTTTAATAATGAAGACCACCAAATTTCACTCTGACATCATGCAAACCATGGGGATTTTCCCATCTTACTTCTGCAAATTCACTCTGTTAACTTTCTCATTTATTGCAACACTGGATTTTCTCCTTATGGCGAATGTTCTTTCCCTGTGCTGCTCTCACGCTGTAGTCCAGAAGGGTTGAGAAAAAACACAGTAAACACAGAAAGCTGCATGTCATGACAGAGCGCTCACCGCTTACTTTAAGGTTGACCTTTTGGCAGCGTCTCTGATGAGCTAAGAGATGAGTGCAGTCATCTCTTTCTTTATTTTTCTTCCTGAGACCCAGACTGATCCCTAACAACCTTTTAGCCTTTTTTCTCTTGAAAATCGCAAATCACAAAAAAGCAGTGTGTTTTAATTATTTAAAAGACATTCACAGCTTTATTTAAATTGTGTCACAACAATTTTAGAAACCCCAGTTATATTGTAACTTTTCCTCTATAAATTAGGCATAAAAGATACAGACCTGGTGCCTTAATGACTATAAAAAGAAGACTGCTGATGTGCTTAGACTTTACAGGAGACGACTTACATTTCCAACAAGTGAACCACAAACAAAACATAACCAAAAAGGGTCATTCGAGTTAAAATGTCACGTTTGATCTCTTTCACTCTGGGGGGAATCCCATTTTCTATGAATGCGTAGTTATAATAAATAAAAGAATAACTTGCTGCATGGGCCTCCAACTCAGGCACACTGGATGGTAAAACTAAATAAGCTAAATAAAAAAGGCTGTTATGGCCGGACAATAAACAGCATTTCCCGAAATGCGTAGGAAGTAGAGGTTGCAGCAACAGCGGTTGTCCAACCAGCCGTCGGACTCCGGCTGTAAACCGAGGAGACCGCCGTTTCGTAAAGTCAGGGTGATTCAGCAATAAAGCTCTTGCTCAGCTCCACCAAGACTGCCGGTCAGTGCAAATATAGGAAAACCAGGGGTGACCGCGTCTTTCTCGGTCAGTCCAAACAACACAGGATATCCACATTTATGCCATACTATAAATACCCAGTTGGAGGACATAGTAGTTTTTGTTTTTTTGTCTTAAGTGGAAAGCAACAAGTCAACGCAACACTGCTAAACGCAAGCTATAGCACGATTTCAGAAATTCCACTCCCGTCTATCTTCAATACTTAATATACAACGATTAAATACCGAGTGGAAAATACAAGCCAGGCCTGGGACCTATATTTATTTATTTATCTAGCTCCAGTTAGCATCTAGCCTTACCCTTAAAGAGCGGGCTGGACACCGTAGGGCAAATGTGCGCTATAGTAAACAGCTATCATTAGAGCCTCTTCCGACATCTAGACTTTAATCCATTTAAATTGTATTTAAGCACACTTATGAAATAAGGAAGTGATAACCCCCTCTGGGTGTCAGTCTAGCCGAAATATAGACAGAAATATGCAAAGCGGGGCCAAATTATTCGTATCATCTTAAACATGCTAGTATGAACTGTTAGCAACTAGCATAAACGGTTAGTGACAGGCTAAAGGAGATTAAAGCCAGCTGCTGACTGCTCATTTGTCCTTGGTTGGTTACCCTGGTTGGCACGTCCCCCGGCAGATACCATTCCTCTAGTGCTCAGCTGTTACCACGAATACCGGCTAAACATTTTAATGTTTAGTATTTTTATAAAAAAGTAATGGTTTACCTGATGGCTCGACGCAACTCCGGCGACAAAATGTCAGTCCGCCTTTTCCCGGAATTACTCCGCTGCTCTCTGAGGTTGGATTCTTTCATTCATAAAAAACACAAGCGACAATGACGTCAGGGCTAAAGAATGAGGGCGGAGCCAAGCCCGCCCCCGAGACGTACTCCGGGAGGATGTAAACAAGGAATCCCTGAATCCCAGAACTTTTCCATGACCATCCCCCAGCTACTCTGGAAAGACATAACACCCTGGGAGAGGATTCAGAGTCCGCCTTTCCTAACACTGTCCAGCCCAACGACGCAGAAGATGTAAAATCCAGCAGAATTCAACAATAATAAGAAACTACTTCAGCTAAAACCCAACTTATCAAAAGCTATAACTTATAGTTAGGAGAAATTTCTACGAGCGTCTTTTCCCCGAAACACCGTCCTCTTAGCTACTTAATAATAGTAATAATAAAAGGTCGAATGCGTCTTCTTCTGGGTCCAATTTAAAGATTACTGATGCCTCCGTTTGTAGGGACATTACCGCCCCCTACTGGAAAACATGCGGAGAAGCATAATTGCGTTAAAAAACTTCAACATAAAAAGCAATTTGAAATTGCTTTGATTTCCAAACTTTAAAGAAATACTGTTAGTCATTGGTTGACATAAGAACTTTCTTTGTTTTAGCTCTTTAAAACATTTTTTCAAGACATTATATGACTTCACAATGACACAAAAAGATTAATACACTACAATAGATTTCCATATTACCAGTGCTGACATCAGCATAAATGACCTATATAAACTGCTGATGTCATCTTGCTGACGTCAGCCCAATGATCTATAAAATATTGCTGATATTGTCATGCTGACATCAGCAAGATGATCTATTAAAACTAAAGCTATCATAGTATTCATGTGTGGAAAATTGAGTTTAATAATTAATTTTTAAACTGCATCAATCTGTTGTTGCTTATTGTTACCACAGTGAAGGCAGGGGATTTTTTATTTTAATCATTTCTGTCTGTGTGCATGTTCACCTACAGGGCCTGAGTCATAAACATTACATTTTTACATTCAGCAGGCTGACATCAGTGTTGTATTAAACCAGGCTGAGGTCAGTATGTTGTAATAAAAGCATCAAAGTTTTAGTTCAGCACTTGTCGTTCAGAGGAAGTTGTGCTCCGTCAGGGATCTTATTTATTTATCTCCATCTGGTAAAATGTTATGTATTAGTCTTATAACAAGGACGTGACTTGTAACAAAAACAGACAGAGTGACTTTTGTTTTGTTTTTCCCATTAAATTAATTCAGGAACTACAATGATCCCATATAATCCGAAGTCTGTCAATATATTGTTTACTCCTGTCAATGTAAAAACTTTAACCAATTAAGTTCAGTTCTAAACCCATGGTGTTTACATTACAGTTTTTCTGAATTGCTAAAACACTAAACCCCAATGTAAAAACTAAACTGTCAACTATGAAAACTCTTTCATCAAATCAATCCCACAGTTGCCAAAATCTTAAACACTATTCATCTGGTTAGGACACCATTTGCCAATCTGAATCTCCCATTTACCAGAACTTTAAACATATTCTCAAACACAAAACACATTTAGCAGTGTGGTGCACTTGTACCCAGAATTGTGCACACAGGCTACAGAAGTTAAACACAACTAACACACTGTTTTCATCATTAACACACTACCACTCAAAATTGTAATGTTACAACCTCCTCTTCTGCTTTTTGCTAGATTGAATACAGCTTCATCCACGAAGATGTATTCATGAGGCCTAACCATTGAGTCAAGCTCAAAGATTCTCTGTACACAACAAACTAATTTTAGTTCTGTAAATGAAATAGTATAGTCTATACATGCGCTATGTATACAAGTATACTTATAACTAAATGATATTTTGTTTAGAATTTAAAGACGGCCACATGAGGGTGGAAGAACATGCATGCACTCACAACACCAGGAGACACTTATTGTGGATATGGTCTGTGTGAATGTGTGTGTGAGAATGTGTGGATGATTGTGTATAGTGTAAAGTGCTTTGGGGTCCTTAGGACCAAGTAAAGCGCTATACAAATACAGACCATTTACCATTTTATTTATCATGGTCCGTCAGAAAAATGCAATTTGACTGCATGAAATGCAGCAAGGGAATATAGAAGACAACATACATTTTGAATCTAACAAAAAGGAGAAGAAAAACTTGCAATGTCATAGGTCAGCGTGCCATTATTGAACTGCCTGGCCAGCGTGGTGGAAATGTAACTATCTCTTCTCTGCTGCCATCAGCAGCTATGGGGTTCCCCACAGTCATGTTACTGTTGGGCCATACAACAACAAACTTATAGCAACATTCCTGGATGGTCTACAGGATGCTTTGCTTGAGTAGAGAGATCGCGAGCAGGCAGAGCATCCCATATCATTTGGGCCAATGTGAGCTTTCACTGTGGTCCAAGAATACACAATTGGTTTCACAATGAGAAGCATTTTATGAATTTGTTTCTTCCACCGTACTCTCCCTTTTTGAACCCTATTTAGGAGTTTTTCTCAGCATGCAGATGTAAAGTATATAACTGAGACCCTTAAACACAGGAAAATCTACTTCAAGCATTGAATGGAGCATGTGGTGAGATAGGAGTGGAATCTTGCCAGAGCTGGATTCCGCATCCTAAACGATTCTTTCCTCGTTGCATTGCAAGGGAGACCATAGCATGTAATGTGGATGAAGTCCTGTGGCCTGACCCAGCACAGAGGCGTGATGCTGAGGCAGGATCAATTATCTGAATATGTTGTAAAAATATATAATTCTTTACAGTTTTTCTCAAATGCTAAAACACATGTCACAAACGTTACCACCAGGTCCCCCAATGTCCAAACATAACACCCTTCTCTAAAGCTACATAAACACAACCACACCTTCCCACTGCAAAACTCAAACTCCCACACCAAGAGAGCAGCTCGAAGCTGTCAAAACTGTAAACACTATACACAGCATTACACACTACAGCAAAACAATTGAAAACACAATGCTCAATTTGTGAGAAGGTTCTTTGGTTCATAACTGCCAATGCATATTTTTATAAACTGTACAGTAACGGATCGTCATAGAACCCTGCAGAGGATTAGGCATTTAGATTTGTGAGTTTCACATGAAGACTATAAATCTATAAAAACATCCTGCATGTACGTACACTACTGTAACACAACTCAATGCAAAAACGGAATCTATCGCACACAACAGTACTCTCGGAAACACGATCAGGGTGTGAAGTCTTTTTTATTGTCTACACGGTCTTTTTACAGTATTACACACAGTCACTGTGCGGCATCATGTCGCCGAGCTGCATTGGGCCACATCACCTCATCCACATCACAGGCCATATTGTCCCTTGCTAGGCACCGCAGGAAAAACGCCCTGGAATGGTGAATCCATCCCTGGAAGGCCTCCACTGGGATGTCAGCACAGGCCAGCTCCATTGCCCGTACGAGGTTCTCTCTTGTGTATGGCTGTCTGTCATACACCTTCCATCTCCATGATGAGAAGAACTCCTCTATAGGGTTCAGGAAAGGGGAGTAGGGTGGCAGACAGACGTTTAAAAAGTGGTCACTGTTGGTGGTGAACCACTCTCTGATTTGGTGTGTTTTGTGGAAGCGGACGTTGTCCCAAATGATCACATACATGTGATGTGCTAGCCTAGGATGGTGTTGTTGACGGTCCAGGAGGATGTCTTTTAGCTCCTCTAGGAAGGTGAGGAGACGTTGGGTGTTGTAAGACCCAAGGACAGCATGCCGGTGGACAAGCCCCTCCGTACCCATAGCTGCACAAAGAGTAATATTACCCCCCCGTTGGCCAGGAACCTCAGTGATGGGTCTTTGGCCAATGATGTTACGGCCTCTTCGCCTTCGTTTCTGGAGGTTGAAGCCAGCCTCATCCAGGAAGAGATACTCATGGGGTTTGGCCATCGCGTCCAACTGCATTATCCTCTGTGAACATGGAAAAGCGTACAGGTGTTCAGAACGGTCAATCAGGTAGCACAGTATTGTCCAGAAGTAATGTAAGCCACTAAGCAACACAGTATGTCCACTAACTGTACTGTGGACATGGATGTATACGTACTTGCACATACTCGTAATGTTGTTCTATGTGTCGCGCAGAGTTGCGCTCAAAGGGAACCCTGTAGACCTGTTTCATCCTCATCTGTTGGCGCCGGAGAACTCGGTCTATTGTGGACACACTGACAGCATCAATGTTCTCAAAGTTTACATTATCTGCAATGACTTTGTCTCTGATCTCTCGGAGTCTAATGCAGTTGTTCTCACGGACCATATCTGCAATGAGGGTTTCTTGTGCCGCTGTGAATATGGCAACCCTCCCACCTCTATGTGGCATTCTTTCAGCTCTAAAGAAAGAAACATGTGTTGTCAATTGACTGATTTACAGTGGGGCAAAAAAGTATTTAGTCAGCCACCGATTGTGCAAGTTCCCCCACCTAAAATGATGACAGAGGTCAGTAATTTGCACCAGAGGTACACTTCAACTGTGAGAGACAGAATGTGAAAAAAAAATCCATGAATCCACATGGTAGGATTTGTAAAGAATTTATTCGTAAATCAGGGTGGAAAATAAGTATTTGGTCAATAACAAAAATACAACTCAATACTTTGTAACATAACCTTTGTTGGCAATAACAGAGGTCAAACGTTTACTATAGGTCTTTACCAGGTTTGCACACACAGTAGCTGGTATTTTGGCCCATTCCTCCATGCAGATCTTCTCGAGAGCAGTGATGCTTTGGGGCTGTCGCCGAGCAACACGGACTTTCAACTCCCGCCACAGATTTTCTATGGGGTTGAGGTCTGGAGACTGGCTAGGCCACTCCAGGACTTTCAAATGCTTCTTACGGAGCCACTCCTTTGTTGCCCAGGCGGTGTTTTGGATCATTGTCATGTTGGAAGACCCAGCCTCGTT